AATTTGGCCGATTCTTAAAAATTATTTGGTTTAAATTCCAAAATAGGATTAAAAAATTTTTTTTATTTTATTTTTATTAATATTTAATTGAAAAAGTTAAAAAAAAAAAATAGTTCAACAAGACCATTATTTTTGGTCCAGTTAAATTTGATAAGAATTAGAACGATTCACTTTGGTTCAAATAGTTGACGATCCTTACTCTGATATCATCTATGATTCCTCGAACAATGAGGATCCTCCATTTTAATTGACAAGTACCATCTTTTCTCCACACCCTTAATCAATCCTCATTCCAATTCGATTGTGTAAATGCTCGAAACTTAAATAAAATAATTTATTATCTAAATACGGAAGTGAACAATAAAATTAGAGTTTATATTTCTTATACAGTAAATTGGAATGTCCAATAGAGTTACATAAATGTCCATTCTACATTGGTTCATAAAAAAAGACAAACGATAATTAAAAATAAATAAATAGATATCCTAGGGGTTAACCTCCACTAGTACTTGAAGAGAGTTCAGGAGACGAACTACTCACAATTCTCTTACTGATTAAGATCTAGATATTGGTATTCTTGATTTAAAATAGTTAATAAAATGTAAGCTACACTAACTCAGTAAAAATATCACGCTAATAACTGATATGAAAAAATCGAAGGTTGGTAAAAATCACAAAACAACTAATGGAGTCATTGATTTAAGTAAATACATTTAACTCTAAAATATTTTATTTCATACTTACCGTTACGGGTTTTTCCAAAATCAACCTATAAAAATAAGTAACCAAGTAATATTTTAATTTCATGTATAAGATCAGTAACTCTTCGTTTTAATCTACTTACTACCCTCGAGGGTCCATAGACGGGCTCTGAATTTTTTGAATTTTCTCTGCATGAACTAAAATACTCATCACGTATCCAAAAATACCCAAAAATTCAAAATCGGTGTTGAAAATCATTTTTGGCTAATTTTAGAATTTTGGTACGGCGGCACCACTGTGCTCCGGTGCCGGCTTCGACGCCCACGGTGGTGGTTCATCTTGTCTTAGCCAGTTTTAACTAGTTTTACACGTATCTCTACAAAAAAAATATATTACGAAGCCTCGGTTGGTTAGAAAAACCAAAAACCCAAATCTATCGGCAGTGAGTCTCCGGGTATGACAGCTCTGCCATTCTCCTTCGCTGTTGGGGTTTTTCCTCCGACTAATATGCACAGAAAGGGACCGTGAACACAATGGTTAAAGAATCATGTGAAATGGAAAATGAGAAGGGAGTCATCGGAGGCAGTTTAGGGTTTTGGCTGCAGCTGCTCCGTCGGGCTTCGCTTGTGATTTCTAGCTCATCTGTCCTCTCTTTTTCTCCGATATGGACACAGAGAGACTCGAAATCGAATTTCAAGCGATAAGGAGAAAATTTTACCTTTTTTGGTTGTCGGCAGTGGTTTCAATGCGGCGGCGGCCAAAGACCAATCTCTTTCTGCAGTGTCTGGTTATTCTTCTTCAACGAGGGCTGGCGGCTAGGGTTAGGTGCTCCTGTAAAGAAGAGTTTAAATACTCATCTCCTCTTCGATTTAAGTCGTCTGTTTGTGTCAACATAGAGCGAAAAGGACTGTTCGATGGTTTTCAGTTTAGGCTGATGGTATAGGCAAATTTGGGCCGTCCATTGCGATCTATTTGGGCTATTCACGGGCACGAGATTAGATTTGGGTCGTCGAATTGCTGAGCACACGGATCGCTCATGTGGCTTCCCGTATGGTGCTGACGTCAGCGGGGTTGCCACGCAGCGTGCTTTGGTTCGTTAGGGTTACTAAGTAGATCGTCCCACGTGGCCGAACTTTTTTTTTTTTTTGCATTTTAGCTCCCACGTTTTCAATTTTTCTTTCAAAAATACCATTCAAATTCAAAATGTCATCATTTTTTTAAAAAAATTATTACCAATTTCATTCCTAATTTATTTTTTCTCTAAAATTCAATAAATCTAAATTAAAATAAATTAAATTAATTATTTATATATTTTTTTACAATAAATCTTCCTGGGCCCAAGTCCTTTTTATACATTTGAGAAATGTCCCTTTTA